TACAAAACCATGATTCAATTTCCTCACTACTTTTATTGACAAGGCTTTTAAATAGTTCTGTTTTGTTTTTTCCTAAGAGGAAATGGTCCCTTAATGAATCAGCTGGATATTTTCAATGTAGTGAGTGGTATAACTCCAACAGTTTCCACTTGACTTGATTCATTCAACCAAAATTGATTATAAAGCACCAAGCAAAAGATATGGGTCCATTCCTAAATTCATAAGGTTGGAAGTTTCACCTTTGTCTATTTTATTTCACTTCATTAATTCAAAAAGATTTACTGATCACTATGAGACAGGCTCCATGCAAAGCAAAAACAATATGAAGATAAATGAGATGCCCACCCAGCCCTCAAAAAGCTTGGTCTGTGGACAAAGGTGGAAACATAACTGCAATGCAACAGGAAAAGAGATAAAATAGAGGTACTGTTGTCCCTTGGTATGCATAAGGGGATTGGTTCCAGGACCTCTCACAGATACTGAGATCTGCAGATGCTCAAGTCCCCAGTATAAAATGGTGTATTTGCATATAGCCTATGCACATCCTCCCATATACTTTAAGTTATCTCTGGATAACTTATAATATTTAATGCAATGTAAATGCTATGTGAATAGTTGTTATACTGTATTGTTTAGGGAATAATGACAAGGAAAAAAGTCTTTATATGTTCTGTACAGATGCAATTTTTTTTCCGAATGTTTTTCATCCACAGTTGATTAAATCCACAGATGTGGAACCCACAGATATGGAGGGTTTACTGTACTTACAAAGTGGCAAGCGAACTCAAAGAAAGATGGACTATGTCAAGGAGAGGACAGTCAGGATAAGCTTCACAGAAAATAAGACATGTAAACTGAGTTTTGAAGAATGTAAGTAGTTTGCTAGAGTGGAAAAGGAAAGAGGACATTCCAAGAAGAAAGAAAAATAGGTACAAAGGTTCAGAGTTAGATGGAGCAAAGCTGAAAGGAGCTGAGAAAACTGTAACTTAGAGGGGATAAGTAACTTGCCCAAAGTTGCACAGCTAATAAGCAATAAGGCTGAGAGTTAGACCCGATCTGAAGTTCCTTATGGGTGTGTGTCATATTTCTTGAGAATGACTACTTAGTGCGTGGCATACAAGTTCCAGGAGCTCAGACTACATTCAATAGACAGTAGAGAATCCTGAGAGGTTTTTAAGCAGAGAAGCAACATCGTCCCATTTGGGCTTTAGTAATATAATTTTGACAGTGATTCTTAACCTTGACTGCAATTAGAATTACTTGAGAAGCTTTCAAACCCTATAGGCCAGGGATCCACTCTAGAACAATTAAACCAGAATTGCTGGGGTTGGGACCCAGTTTTTTTTTTGTTTTTGTTTTTGTTTTAAGTTCCTCGGGGGATTCTAATGTGTGGTTAGGGTCAAGAACTACTGTTCTAGGAAGATGGACTAAAATTCAGAAATGGTCTAATATTTATGAAGCACCTACTATGTTTGAGATTTTGCTCCAAATGCTTTATATGACAACTACAATCTACACGTTGAGATTTTATACATATCTAGTATCCTGACCCATGTCAACCATTTTGAGCCCTGTGTAGTAAGCAGTTGTTACTCCTAGCCTTCAATATAGATTTAATCCTATAATCCCTATTTTACCAATGGTGAAACTGAGGCACAAACCACTGAAATAACCCCTCTGAAATGATCAAATTATTAAATGACACAAATGGACTCAAATGTAAGTTTTTCTGATGCTTAAAACCCACGCTCCTTCTACTATACACCACTGCCTATAAGCCTAGCTTAATCCTCAGAACAATTCCTAAGTAGGCATCATGATCCTCCTTTTACAAATGAGGAAATTAGTCCCAGAAAGGTTAATTTGACCAGGTCACAGCTAATAGGTGGAGAGGCTGTGAGGGATTTAAATTTAGATCTGTTTTACTCCAAGTCCAGGCTTATGAAGGTAAAGTATATAGCACATATTCAACACTCAATACAATTCTCCTTTCTTCTGAAAGGAGGGAAGCAAATTGGGCTATTAATATCCTCCAAAGTATTATTCCTAATAGGGATAGTCATCCCTAGGAACTTCCTCTTCCTCCTTGGGTCCTAGAAGGTTAACCCTCTGTTGAACTATCAATCCCAAGGGGGCTTTTTTGGGGGTGGAGGGTAGAACTCTGCCATAACCCTCCATCATATTTACCTGGCAAAACTTTAATCCTGGCTAAGTCCAACACTACAAACTCCTTCAACCCTTATCCAAGTAGCTGAATCATTCTGACTTGTCTCTTTTTATTAATCGTCCCAAACTTCAAATGGGCATTCATTGCCCAGTAATGTTACTGCTTTTACTCAGTAAGTTCATTTTCCCACTCTTAGAGAATATCATTTCATTTCATTTCTTCTCTCCTCAACCTTCCAACATCCCCTGACAAAATCCCATCCCACCCCCAGCTCCCTTCCCTGTTGCATCAACAATCTATACCTTTCCACTGTATCATTCCGTACAATTTACAAATATCCCTTAGTGCTCATCTTTAAAAACATCAAAAACAAAAAAGCAAAACATCTCCTTTGAATCCACACCTGCCTCTGGCTACCATCCCACTTCTCTGCCTTCCTTCTCAGCTAAGAGTTGGCTTCATTAGTATCCACTTCTTCACCTTCACCACTCAATCATCTCCATCTGCCAATGCCACTGAAACTGATATTACCAGGGGCACTAGTAACCTCTATGTTGCCATCTGCAGTGATCTTTTCTTTGTCCTCAGCCCCTCAACAGCCTGTGAAACAGGTGATCACCACCTTCTTCTTGAAACTTCCTTCCAGCTTTAGCAATACCACATTCCTGGTCTTCCTGTCTCACTGGTTGCTTCCTCCCTCACTTACTTCCTCTCAGACTCATTTTACAGGTGCCTCCTCCTCTACCTGATCTCTAAATGTTAGAGTACCATAATTGTCAGTCCTGGGTCTCCTCTTCTCTGTTCACACACTTTCTGTAATTGATCACATTCATGCTTTTGCTTTTGGATATGGGTTTGTCATCACTTACACAGGGATTGGGTTCTCAAGTCAGTTCATAAAAAAAAATCTTATGAAATTGAATTTTTATTGAAAATTCCTTAAATCACCCATAAATCACAATAGTTGTGGTTTCATACATGTTGATTTCATACTTGGCTGTTGCCATAGTTATGTGCTGAATTGAAGATCAACACACCATTTCCTAATAAGCTCAAACAATTGATTTTTTTTCCCTCTTATGTTGAGACAAATTGTTTTTACTGAGCAATAAATGAAGTACTTGGAAAATTTATATTTTTAAAGAATAAACACACTTGGGACAGCAAGATACTCCCACTATAAAAGGGAGTCAGGGACTGGATCCATCTGAAGGAACAGCAGATTCACATCCCCTATCTCATGCTCATTTCACACCTGCTTTCCTTAAGTGTAAAGAAATCACCCACACTTATTAATTTTAATAAGTTAAATGCTTGTTTGATGTGACTCCTTCACACCGTCTATATGTTGATGACTACCATATTTCCCTAGACATGACTTTTTCCCCCTGAGCTTATTTGGATGTCTCCATTTAAAGTCAGCTGGGCATCTTAACATGTCCAAAACATAACAATTAAGTCCATGTCTCACCCACACCCAAAAGCTGTTCTTCCCTTAGTCTTTCTTAGCTCAGTAAATAGCATGCCACCTAACCAGCCAATAACCTAGGAGTGATCTTTGATTCCTCCCTTTTCCTCATCTCTGCATGAAATTCATCAGGTACATGAAGCTCTTTTTCTAAAACATATCCCAAATCTATTCATTTATCTCCATCAGCACAGATACCAACCTAGACCAAGCAACCATCATCATTTCTACTTGGACTGATCTCCCTGTTTCCACTCTTGGCCTTTCTATGGTCCATTTTCCAAATAGCCTGAGCAATCTTTTATGAAACATTCACTCATTCATTTATCAAACATTCTTTGAGAGTGCACAGAAACTAGGGATACAACACTGAAGCAAAGTTGATCCCTGTGTCCATGAACTTTCATGTAAATAATTTTGTATAGTAAAAAGGCAATGAAGAAAATAAAAATCAAAAGTGATCGACTAAAACATGTTGTTCTCTTCATAAAAATATTGGGGAGGAGTGCGGGGGGGGGGGGTAGCTGTCCTGAATGGTCATCTGAATTCTTGACCTTGATATTATCAAAACAACTCTCTAACCAACTGAGCTAACCTGCCAGCCTTCATAAAAATTTTTGAATAGTTTCCCAGTGTGTTTAGATTAAAATCCAAGTTCCTTACCATGACCTTGTTACAAGATTCTGTGAGATCTGGTTTCTGTTTGTTCTTCCACCCTTATCTGTACTTCTACTCCACACTGCAACTTGGCTCGTCACCCTAGCCTTCTCTCTATTCCCCCAATGTTCCAAATCCTTCAGGCACGTGTTTCCTCTATCTGGAATGCTGTTCCTAGATCTTAGAACGGTTTGTCTCCTCTTGGCTCAAATATCACTTCATCAAGGGTTCGGATCCCGGTCCTAGCCAGCCGCCTGCCCCCACCTTACCCCCGCCCCCACCACCAAATATCACTTAAACAGAATGAACTTGACTAATCTTGCTAAAAGTAGGCCCCCCTTCTCTATCAATTACACCTTTTTATTTGTTTTACAGCACTAATCACTTTCAGACCATCTTGCTTATTTATTTGTTAAAATCTTCTGTCCCCATTAAAATGGAAGCTTCTTGAGAAGAGGAATCTTGGGGTGTTGTTTAGCAACGTATCCCTCAAAGTCTAGAACACTGCCCGGGACTAGAGGATATAAATATATAAATATTTTTGGTAAGAACTTATAAATAACGACGGACTAGAAGACGATGAAGAGCCTGGTCTCTCAGCTCATCCAGGTTCCGCCTCCAAGAATCACTTCCGCTCACGGCCCCGCCCAGGCCGTCGGGGGAGAGGGAGTCGTCTGCGCAGGCGCCTTGGGGCCGCGGAGCTTTCTGGGTAAAGATGGACGTTCACGATCTCTTTCACCGGCTTGGCGCGGGGGCCAAATTCGACGTGAGACGCTTCTCTGCAGACGCAGCCCGATTCCAGGTATAGTGCACAGGGGACCAAGGCTTGAGTCACTGAGGAGGAGCAGGAGCCCGAGAATGAACCGGCGCACACGGAAACCTCGTGGCCTGGTCCTGACCACCCTTTCGGGCATGTTCTCTTCATTTGCGTTCCCCTGACCCGCAGACCTACCCGGTTCAGGCCTTCTGAATGAACTCTTGCTATCCGTCTGTACGCTTAGTTTGGCATGGCACGGAAACACTCTTTCCCTCCTTAATTTATTCAAAGCAAAGTTAGAATCCTTTCAAAAGGGGCTTTTTCTCCGAAACTGCTGGAAAGGAATTTCGGAAAAAGAAACAACCCAAAGTGGAGAAAACAATTTCTTTCACTTTAATCTACCCGGGTTTGGCTTGGCATGCATATAACTGTGCTGGGCATGGTTGTTTTTATTATTACAACCCTAAGGCGTGTTGTTAGAAGTGGGGGAGCTTACGTAGAGAAGTAGTGAGTGATAAATCGGTAGAAGTCAATTGGGGTTCAAGTGTGGAAAATCTTGAATGTATGTAACCTTGCAGTTAAGGACTAGGGACTTTGTGTGTGTGTGTGTGTGTGTGCGACGTGTGTTTCTTTTTTCTCTGGTTGTTAATATAATGTAGTTAAGAGTTTGAACTCTGTACTGACTCCAAAAAATCTTGAATGTATGTAACCTTGCAGTTAAGGACTAGGGACTTTGTGTGTGTGTGTGTGTGCGACGTGTGTTTCTTTTTTCTCTGGTTGTTAATATAATGTAGTTAAGAGTTTGAACTCTGTACTGACTCCAACGCCTGAGTCTGCCAGTTAATAGTTTTGAGATTTTGGTTAAGTTACTTAACCTCCTTACGTACCTCGGTTTTCTCATCTGTAATACTACTGTTTACCTCGTAGGGTTGTTGTGAGGGGGAAATAATTTAATATGTGTAAACACGCTTAGAAATCTGCTTGACATATAGTAAGCATATATAAGTGTTAGTTGCCATTATCATTATTGTTACTGTTATGAGGTCAGAAAAGGTGTCTTCTTGTATTACATTTGCCCAGAAACACTTGTTAGCTCAACAAATATTTGGTGAAAGGGTAAAAAAATATGGGGAGTCATTGGACCCCAGCCCCGCTTGGATGAAAGCAATGCTATTCTGTCAGTAGATTTCATTTTAAATTTTGGGGGGTTTAGGTAGGAAAAAGGAAGAATGATTCTTCAGAGGTGATGCGGGGACTAGACTTTTTTGGAAACAAGAAGTCTGTCTCAGGTGCATGTGGAGCATCACAAACACATCAGGAGCTCCAAAATGAAGAGAAAAAAGAGAACCTAACTGAAAGGAAGAGGGAGCAGAACAAGAAGAGGAAGAAGATGACTTCAGGTTAGTGTTTGATTTCTGTTGTTTTTCTTTTTTAATTTTTTTTCGATCACAAAAATAATAAAAGCTTATGGTTCCAAGTCAGACAATATATGGTCATTTGGCAATTGTTTCTAGGTACTTGCCATTGGAAATATTGGTACAATAAAGATAACTGTACTTATATCCTTTTGTACAGGTACTGTTATTTCTGTAGAATAACATCCCAAAAGTGGAATCACTTAGTGAAAGAGTATACACAGTTCTTTCTTTGAACAGATACCGCAAAATGTCTCCCCACACTGTTGTCAGTGCTGAATATTATTGGTCTTAAATTTTTTGCCAGTCTAACGAATGAAACTTTTAAATTTATATTTCCTAAATAACTGGTGAGGTTGGGCATCTTTTCATATGCTTTAGTGGACATTTACATTTCACCTTTTTGTGAATTGTCCTTACTTTTTGCCTATTTTTCACAGGGTTTTTGGCTTTTTCTGTACTGTATTATAAGGATATTTATCTTTATAAATATCTGTTATATCTATTAAGTTTCCTAATATTTGTTTTGCAAAGAATATATTAAGTTATACAATGATGAAAAGTAAATTTCCTTCCCACTCTTTATCTCTAGTCCCCTTTTTCTACAGAGGCACCACTGTTAATCAGTTCCTTTTGTTTTTTTCTAGAGGTATTCTTTCACATGTATTTATGCCTGCCTTAAAAAACATAAATACTCTATATATGTATGTTTACATACTCTATAAACATGAATACTCTGTGTACTCTATATACGTTCTTCCCTCCCTCCCCCCCTTTTTATAAACAATGTATCTTGGAGATTGTTTGGAATCAATAGGATGTGCACTGCCTTGTTCATTTTAACACAGCATAGTATCCCATTGTACATTCCATAATTGATTAACAGGCTCCTCTGTGATGGACATTTAATTTGTTTCCATACTTTTGCTGTTACAGTGTTGCAGTAAATATCATTTTACTTAAATTTGTGTGTATGTATGTATATCTGTCTGATAAATTCTTAAAAGTGGAATTGCAGAGTTAACAGATTTATTTTAAATTTAGATATTGTAGAATTATCCACCAGAAACATTGTATCAGTAGGAAGTATGCTACTTTGTTCATTGTTACACAGCATAGTATCTCATCTTACATTGCAGGAATGGCCCATAATTGATGTGACAAGTTTCTGGGTGAGAGATTGTTTCCATACTTTTGCTGTTATAGTGTTGTTGTAAGACTCATTCTTCTTCTCTGGCCACAAGGAAGTTTGATAAAATCTTTCACCCAGATTAATAAGAAAGGCATGTCACAGAGTAGGAAAAAGGTTCAAATGTTGGGCAACCGGAAAGACACAGATATGTGCTATAACCATTTAGCCACAAATGTATATAGGCTGTAAATCTATGATATATGTATAGGCACATATCTATTTTTAATTGAAAAATTCAAGATCTTATGAAGTAGTGATGATTTGGGTCTGTTACAACTGTCTCATAAAGGGAACATAATTTTATTTTTTAAAAAGTCATTCTCTGATGCCTAATGGCAATGTCTTTTTTTTTTTTTTTGGCCTTCTGAGCATTAAGTTTATTTTTAAAAAATTCTTCTCGGGCCAGCCCGGTGGCGCACTGGAGAGTGCACCGCTTGGGAGCATGGCGGCGCTCCCGCCGAGGGTTCGGATCCCATGTGGAGACCGGTTCCCGCTCACTGGCTGAGCGCAGTGCGGGCGCAACACCGAGGGTTGCGATCCCGTTACCGGTCAGTAAAAAAGACAAAAAGGAAAAAAAAATTTCTCCCATGTTTCATTATTTTTTGTTTCATTTTGTTATATTGAAATCTTTGACCATGTGGGATTTTATTTTGTCTAAGGAGTAGAGAGGGAACTACTCCCACCGAGGGTTCGGATCCCATGTGGAGACCGGTTCCCGCTCACTGGCTGAGCGCAGTGCGGGCGCAACACCGAGGGTTGCGATCCCGTTACCGGTCAGTAAAAAAGACAAAAAGGAAAAAAAAATTTCTCCCATGTTTCATTATTTTTTGTTTCATTTTGTTATATTGAAATCTTTGACCATGTGGGATTTTATTTTGTCTAAGGAGTAGAGAGGGAACTAATTTGATGTTTTTTCAGATGGCTGGCTAATTGACCTAATACCATATGTTGCTATTCATCTTTAACCTGTTGGATTTAAATACAACTTTTGTTGCTAACTTATTAACCATATATATTCAGGTGTGTCTCTGGGCTGTGTTCTATTCCATTGATGTATATTTCTGTGTTCATACACCAATACTAGCTTGTTTTAATTACTGTGGCCTTATAATGTATTATAAAATCCAGCAGAGTGGTGAGGCATACCATATTTATTGATTGAGCAACTGAATGTTTTTCTCCCCATAGGGATCTACAGAATCAATGCAATCTCAATTAAAATTTCAGCAGGCTTTTTCTTTTTTGTAGAAATTGATAAAGGACCTCATATAACTGAGGCAATTTTTTAAAAGATGAACAAAGTTGGAAGACTTACCCTACCTGATTTCAAGATTTACTATAAAACTATAGTAATCACATAGTTTCATATTTCCAAAAAGATAGATGCATATGTATGGTCAAGTAGTTTTCAACAGAGGTACTGAGGCATTTCAATGGAAAAAGGAAAGTCTTTCAAACAAATTATTTGGATTCATACAGGAGTGAACATTAACCTTTACTTCCCACTATAACCAAAAATTAACTTGAAGTGACTGATGGAATAAATCTAAAACTGTAAAACTTCTAGAATAAAACATAGGAAAAAAAATCTTTGCAACCTTGAGTTACACAGTGGTTTCTTAGAACACAAAAATCACAGATCTTAAAAGAGAAAATTGATATATTGGACTTTATCAAAAATAAAAATTTTTGCTCTTTAAAATATAGCATTAAGAAAATGAAAAGGCAAGCCCCAGACAGGGAAAAAGTACTCACAGCATGTGTGCAAGGATACTTCAAAAAGTCCGTGGAAAGATTCATATTATCTTTTAATTCTATTTTCCACGAACTTTTTGAAGTACCCTCATATATCAAACATAGGACTTGTATCCACTCAGCAAAGAAGAATATGCATGGCAATAAGCACATAAAAGATATTCAGCATCAGCTATCAGGCAAATTAAAACCACAATGCAATGCTACTACATGCCTGTAAGTCTTCAGGAACTTGTAAGAACCTAAAACTGGAAATGACCCAAATGACCTTCAACAGATAAGGATAATGAAATTGTGTATCCATGCAATAGAATACTACCTAGTAATAAAATGTTAAGAGGTTATTGATACATGCTGTAACATGGATGCATCTCAAAATAAATATCCCAAGTGAAAGCCGAACTAAAATTAGTACAAACTACATGATTCCATTTATATAAAATTCCAGAAAAAGCAAACTAATCTACAGAGACAAAAATTAGATTAATGGTTGCCTAGAGATGGAGTGATGAATTATAAGGGGCCACGAGGAGATTTTGGAGGGTGATGGAAAAAACCTTGAATGTAGTGATGGTTTAACTGGTGTATAGATATATCAGAATTCATCAAATTATGTACTTTAAATATATGCAGTTTATTGTATGTCATTTAATACCTCAGTGACATTGAAAAAATTAAAAAGAAATTCCAGTAGAACTAGTCTTTGCTTATTACTCCTAGAGTTTTTAGGTTATTACATATTTATTCTCCCACATAAACTTTAAAGTCAGCTAGTTCACTCACCAAAACAATCTTGTCATTACTTCTAATTATAATGAGTGTTATTTATAGAGTTAGAGAAAATTGCTATCTTTATTTTTTTATTTTATTTTACTTTTTCTCATGGCTGGCTGTTACAGGAAACTGAATTGCTATCTTTAAAACATTGAGTAGCCCTAAGTATTGTGTGATGTTCATTGCTGTTGTAATTGAAATCTTTGTTTCATCATATTTATTTTCTAGCTGGTTGTTGTTTGATATAGAGAAGCTGGATGCTTTATTGAAATCTCTTATTGTTTAAGTAGTTTTCGATTAATCCCCTGTTATTTTCAAGTATATAATCATCTTATCTGCATATTACACAACCGAAACAATAAACAAAGGAAAGAGAATGAGCTTCAGAGCTCTGATTATACCAACACAGAACTTGCCTCTCCATTTCCAATTTTTATACATCCTATTACTTTCTCCTATCCGGTTGCATCAACTAGTACTTTTTCTTTTGTTTAGCATGAGGATGTGTGTGGCCTGTTTGCTACACCCAAAACTGTTGCACTTAAAATCTTTTAATTTTTTAAAATGTATTTTAGAAATTACTTCTCAAGGAGAAGGTACTACTATACAGTGGATGTCATCTGTGGAAGCAAAGATTGAAGATAAAAAAGTTAAAGGAGAAAATAAACTAACTTCCAGAAAGTTGGAATATCTCAGAAAGGAAAAGGTTAGAAAACTGTTTTAAACTGCAAAAGTATATGTTTTTCTGACCAAGTGACTTTTCACTGGGCTTGGGTTAGTCTGTTGGTAAAGTGAATATAGTTTTGTTAAAATAGAAGATTATTTACATTTGTTTAGATTTTGCTTTAATGAAAGGTTAAAGCAAAGTTGGTGTTTGCGCCATAGCTGAAAATTTTAAAGTTAAAATAAAAGGTTTATATACCTCTCTTGTGTGTATACACACACAATTCTTGACCTGCTTAAGTTTCAAGATTAATAGTGTGCTTAGAATTAAATTTTTAAAAATTTCTTAACCCCTTTGATAAACATAATTTGGCACCCTTTCTCCTCTATGTTGAGCTCACTGGTTTAGAAGGATTTCCTTTGACAGGAATTAGAGGGTTAGAATTTTTTTTTTTTTTCCTTTTTTTGTCTTTTTTTTACTGACCGGTAATGGGATCGCAACCCTCGGTGTCACGCCCGTACCGGGGACCGGCAACGGGATCACAACCCTCGGTGTTGCGCCTGCACCGCACTCAGCCAGTGAGCGGGAACTGGTCTCCACATGGGATCCGAACCCTCGGCAGGAGCGCCACCGCACTCCCAAGCGGTGCACTCTCCAGTGCGCCACTGGGCCGGCCCGAGGGTTAGAATTTTTAAGAAACCTATTTTTATAACTTGGTAATAAGGGGAGTAGGATATAGAAGAAACTACAAATATACCATTTTCTTGTCTGCTGTACACCTGCCCTGTTATAGATGGAAAGGTGTATTCAGCTTACTTCAGAGATTACCATGGCAATGCTTCAGTAACCCAGAATCCAGAATTTGGCTATCTCTGCACCACAGAATGGGGAAAACAGACCATATCAACACCACTCTACTTTTTTTTTTCTTTTTTTTGTCTTTTTTCGTGACCGGCAATGGATCGCAACCCTCAGTGTCGCGCCCGTACCGGACCGGGACCGGCAACGGGATCGCAACCCTCAGCGTTGCTCCCGCACCTCGGTCAGCCAGTGAGCGCCGGGGCCGGTCTGTATGTGGGATCCGAACCCTCGGCGGGAGCGCCGCCACACTTCCCAAGCGGCGCACTGTAGCAGTGCGCCACCGGGCCGGCCCAACACCACTCTACTTTTGTCACTCAGTTTTAATAAGTATTGTTTTAGGATAAATCATCAAAAACATGGGCACTTATATGCTAAGCACCATGTAAAGGAAATAGATGGATTCAATGCCTGCCCTCTAGAAGTTTATATAAGATTATACATTATGGCAATGACAGTAACACGTTAATATGAGTAACACATTACTCACGGTATGACATTAATATGAAGAATGCATATAGATAGATAGGTTTCATTGTTATGAAGGTCTTCTTTCTATGAATGGGCAAGAAGTGTACCTAATATCTGTGATGCTTTAGGGCTTGGAATTAACCAGAAAGTTTCATGTGCTACTAAAGCTAATCCCCAAAACTGTTGCTATTGTTTTACGACATCTGAGAATGTATTTATAATTTGCCTATATCCATGGTGGCCCCTTTACTTTACTTTTCAGATAAATTTCTTCCGGAATAAACACAAAATTCACATTCAAGGAACTGATCTTCCTGACCCAATTGCTACATTTCAGCAACTTGACCAGGAATATAAAATCAATTCTCGACTGCTTCAGAACATTCTAGATGCAGGCTTCCAAATGCCTACTCCAATCCAAATGCAAGCCATTCCAGTTATGCTGCATGTGAGTATGAAGGTCTAGAATAACTGTAACAGTCCTTTCTTTGGGTGTTTGCTCATTCTCTTTCCTCTTTCCTTGAAAACCTCTTTTCTACCATATCTCCCCTGTTAAAAGTCCTTCACTTGCTTTTTTTCATATATTTGAATGACATTGTTGGCTCACATTATAGTAAATTTGCTTTTAATTTTCAGTTAAGATTGTCTCTGTCATGATTGTAGCTTAAAGTTTTAAAAATCAGTGACTTGTTGAAGATTGTCACCTATAAATTACTCTGTCACTCAGGTCATCACCACTTTTATTTCTTACCCACAACCATTCTACTGTTTAATAAAACCTTTCCTAGGGATTGAGCAGTACAGATACCAGGATAAAGTGTTAGTTTTGTAATCTTGTTTTGGTAAGAGTTTAGTGGTAAAGAAAAATTGAAATAGTGGATATAATTGAGGTTACAAATTATCTTCGTATGTTTGTTATCCACATTCTTTACTTATTCAAATGGACTTTGAGGGTAATGCTCAGAAACTCCATTGGTGCCATGGATAGATGATGTTAGAAAAGCAAATATGGGAGAAATTAGAAAAGCTGATAGGGCTTGAATGATTGGATTCATTACCTATCATTTTATTTGTAATTTCTATGGTTGATAGCATTATTTGAACAGTCTGAAAAATTTACATTATATTAATAAGTAATATTACCTTATTTCCTTATATTTAACATACTCCATGTTTTTAGGGTCGGGAACTTCTAGCTTCTGCTCCTACTGGATCTGGAAAAACTCTGGCTTTTAGCATTCCTATTTTAATGCAACTGAAACAACCCACAAATAAAGGCTTCAGAGCCTTGATTATATCACCAACACGAGAACTTGCCAGCCAGGTATGACTTGTAGCTTTTGAAGAGAATGCATTTGGTGTTTGCTTCAGTGATCTTTCTTATTTGAGGGTAATGAAAAGATCTCAAAAGATTAAAGCCCGTGTCTTTTATGATTAAGTATTCTCTACATAGCACACTGCTCTGTATCTTGCTGCATATGGGCAAGTCTTTAATGGCTTTTTGTAATTTTCTAAAACACAATAATTTTAACATTTATACCTCTTTGGTAAATGCTCTGAGATCCTTGAAGTTGAAAGGCTACTGTAATATATAGTCCCTCTCTAAAATTTATTTTTCTCATCTAATAAAATGAAGCCTTATCTCAGTTTTTGTGAAAGTAAAACTATACAGTGATCTGTTCCACCCTCCCAGTGTGCTTAGTATAAAATATGACTACATGCCAAGTATGAAATAGTCTTATAATAGTACTATATTTTAAAAACAATATGTAACAAATTGGAAAGTATTGGTTTTACCTGTTCTTACTGTTTTACTCAGTCTGAGGAAACTATTGAACATAAAGGCACTGAAGTTCCAAAATGCTGAGATTCTGGTTAATCTACAGATTAATATGGGTTTAGTTTCAGTTATTCATGGGTTGGTAATAGATTTATTAATGATGCAAAAGAGACTATACATCTTCTCCAAGTATCTTAGCAGCTTATGTTTTTATTGTTTTCTGTTTTAGATTCACCGAGAGTTAATAAAAATTTCTGAGGGAACAGGATTCAGGATACACATGATCCACAAAGCGTCAGTGGCAGCCAAGAAATTTGGACCTAAATCATCTAAGAAGTTTGGTAAGGAATTCATGCTTGGATGCAGAGCATGTAAGGGATTTGGAAATTACAAATATCCTAATTGCCATTTAAGAGTTGTTATAATTAGATTGATTTTTAGAGAAACTAAAGAGATTCCATCCCCACTCGGCCCATTAGCTATATAAATATATACCAGTGGTTCTCAACTAGAGATTATTTTGCCCCCCACTTTCCACCATAGTGACATTTGGCAATATCTTGGAGACATTTTTAGTTGTCAGAACTGGAGAGAAGTGCTACTAGCCTATAGTGGGGAGAAGCCAGGGATGCTGTTAAGCATTCTACAGTGCACAGGACAACACCCTAGAACAAAGAATTGTCTGGCCCAAAATATCAACAGTGCTGAGGTTGAGAAATGGTGCCTTAGCCCACTGATTTTTAATCTGCCGTGTAAATACCCTGGCAGATAAGAATGGCTTACATCCCTACCCTTATATCAGCCAGAGAAATGTGCTTTTATCTCTTTTTTTATTTTGACCTTCTGAGTAAAATTTCATTTAAAGAAAGGATTGTCTTGAAAAAATAAAGTTTGAAAATCAGATTGTTAGATTATAGTGTTCTTGTCTCTTAGAAGTTGAGAAGGCTGCTCAAATATAATAAAATAAGGGCATGGATATAATCGTTTGTGCTATCATGGATTAAAACATAACATATATTAGCTTACTCATAAGGAAGAATTTTTGTGTTGTTGGCTATGAGTATAAGTACTTCCTCCTCTCCCCACTTCAAGTTTTTAACTAAAATTCAGGAAGTTTAATTCCCTAGTTCAAAAGGGATGAATCTTGTTTTTGCAATGTCTACCATTTGTTTTTCCTACAGATATTCTTGTGACTACTCCAAATCGACTAATCTATTTGTTAAAGCAAGATCCACCAGGAGTAGACCTAACAAGGTACAGATAATATTTTAATGTCTTTTATATGTGCTTTTCATTTAGGTGATTATATTTAGTCCTCAGTTCCTTATATTTTTGCCCTTTGGAGCTTGTTTGCCAACTTTAGTCAGTGTTGGTGCTGGGTATAATGGTTTTCATTAAATTCATAGAAGAAAATAACTATGTAGTCTGTAAGAAAGTTACATTTTCGGGGCTGGCCCGTGGCTCACTCGGGAGAGTGCAGTGCTGATAACACCAAGGCCATGGGTTCAGATCCCCTGTAACGATGGCCAGTTGCTCACTGGGTGAGCGTGGTGCTGACAACACCAAGTCAAGGGTTGAGATCTCCTTACCGGTCATCTTTTAAAAAAAAAAAAAGTTACATTTTCTAATAACCCATTAGTAAAGAATTCCACTAGACCCTTTCGCATCTTTCATCAGTGGTGATGGAATTCATGAGGTTTATGCAGTGCTCTACTGATGCTAATGGAACCTCATATCTTTGAAGCTAATGGAATAGATACTAAGTACATTGAATAACTTTTATCTTGTTTTTACCTTTTTCCTGCTTATTTTTCTTACACTTTTTTTCTGTTATAATAAAGTGGATGTGAGAAGAAGCATCATGATTTGACTTCCTCATATATCGCCACGGTTTAGTGAAATGTCTTAGATCTTCTGGCTTAATACCCATGAGTTGTTTTGTTATTTCTTAGTGTGGAGTGGCTGGTAGTAGATGAGTCAGACAAACTGTTTGAAGATGGCAAAACTGGGTTCAGAGACCAGCTGGCTTCCATTTTCCTGGCCTGCACATCCCACAAGATCAGAAGAGCTATGTTCAGTGCAACTTTTGCATATGATGTTGAACAGTGGTGCAAGCTCAACCTGGACAGTGTCATTACTGTATCCATTGGAGCAAGGTAATTAATTGTTCTTCCACATTATCCCACTGATTATTTTTTTCAATACACATATTTTTAGACTCAAGGAGACAGGTTGTTTGGCCTGAGACTCATAAGGGAGAGAGTTTTAGTGATAAAAATGTATTCTTTTAAGTCAAGATTGATTAAGGATTTTCTATTTTAAAATAATCCAAAGGGAGGCTTTCATATTGTCATTAATATTCCTATCATCATGCCTTTTTAATGTGCTTTTTGCTATCTACAATAATGACATGAACTCTGTGGCCACTCAGAGAATTTTATTTCTTTGATGGCTTAAATAAGTAGGACCACAGAGGAGAAAGCTGATGTTACTGAGCCACTTGGTTTATAATTCCTTTTAAAAAATATTTTGGGGAGCATTTTGTGATAAATAAATGCTTAAGAAAAAATTTCAAGGGAATTGTGTAATTGCCACTTGATAGAATATTATGCAACCTGTGAAATTATAAGTATGAAGACTGTAGCTATATGAAAAAGTGTTTGTATACCATATTAAGTGAAAAAGAAGCCAATTAGAATAGTAAAAAATACATACCCTGTCTACTTTAAACTTAAAATTTTTTGTATAAAAAGAAAGCAGAACAAATTCACCACGAACAATTTAAAGGCAAACAAGAGAATGGGAAAAATATTTGTGACAATATAATATATTGCAGCATCTTACAGGGTAATAAAGCCTTTATATACTTTACTCCCAGCTGTAAATGTATAAGTAAACCTTTGCTAATCATTAAGAACAAAGTTTAGCTATATGTAATAACAACCTTTAAAATGTTCTCATTATTTTACCCAATAATTTTATATTTAGAAAATTTTTTGTAAATAGACATATCAAAATTTATGACTGGAATACAACAAAAGACATCGATGTTTATTCTAAAATTGTGGAATATGGGCAATTTATTTTATTCATATTTTACTGTTTTTCAAATTTTGAGATAACATTTTTATAATTAGAACAAAGCATTTAAAAATAATGATTTTGACTTTAAATTATAGATAATTACTTACATTAACATATTTTCTAAAAAAGCATTATCTTCTATGACTTTAAATTATCTATAAATTATAGATAATTAAGTACTTCATTAAAAGTTGATTTTGTCAGAGTTGTGTGTAAGTTTTTTCATTTATATAGAGATGAGGTGGAAAAAGCAGAAATTGGCTCTTGCAAATTACAAGGTATGTTTTCTTCTCAGGAATTCTGCAGTAGAGACTGTAGAACAAGAACTTGTCTTTGTTGGGTCTGAGACTGGAAAACTTCTGGCCATGAGAGAACTTGTTAAAAAGGTATATGTGGACTACATTCTTGAATTTTGGGAAAGTTCAGTAAGCCTTATATTACTGGTAGAAGGCTCAGCACTAACTGTATCATCATCTTGCATCACATTTAGTAATCCAGTAGTAAACTGTTAGGAAGCACATTGTGCCAACTCTTAGCCCAGTGGAGAGAGGCTTACCTCTCAAAATATGGTAAGTCTTCTGGTCCCAGCTCAGAGTAGGCTAGGAAAAGATCTACCTGATGCCCTGAAAGCCTCATTTTTCCACATCTGCATATACATCTGCCTCCTACATTCCCCCATCATTCTGCTGGTTTCTTGTAAAAGAACTGGGGCATTACAGAATGAGTAGGACACTGAGTGGGGTTTTCTGTTTTTAATCCCTTCAGTAAGTATCGAGTAGAAGCCCATAGTTAAAAAATTAAGTACTGGGGAGTCAGAGTGGGAGACAATAAAAGAAGTATAAATCTTAAGCTCTGCTCCTAGAATTTAGTCTTATTTAGGAGATAAAATAAATATACTTGTGTAAGATAGTTGTGATAAAGTGCCATAAAAGGCTAAAGAGTATTTTTCTTAAGCATCCATATCGTCATAATGGGGCCATTACGGTGAACTGAATTGGTTGGAGAATGCCTTATAGAGGAAATGCTACTAATCTGAGCCTTGAAGAATTTGTAGGACAAAGTGGGGAGGGGGAAGAGTATTAAAGCCTGGGGGAGTGGCTTGAGTAAAGCCTTAAGAGGTAGAGGTGAACACCATGTATTTGGAGACTAATGAAAAGTTTACCTTTCTAAGGCAAAGAGTTTACAGTGGGCAATTAAGGAAGATCAAGTTGGACAGGAAAGTTGGGGTCAGGTTGAAAGAGACCACTGGATATTTTTGAAGAATGTGGCCACATACTTTTTAAGGAAAATGAATTAAACAGTAGTATGTAAGGTGGGTTGTAGTGGAAAAAGACAAAGTAAGGGAACCAATTAGCAGGCTGTTAAGTTAGGCTGGGCAAAGATGAGGAGGAAATAAACAGGGTAACAGCCTTAGTGGCAGTGGAGTGTAAAGAATAGTTGGACGATGAAAGGCAAAGGTGTTCGCACTTATCTGGTGACTACAGAAGTGGTAAGTATTCTTCAGTGGTTAAGAGCATGGACTCTGGAGCCAGACTACCTGGATTGAAATTCTAGCTTCACCATTTTAACTTTGGACAACCTAACCTCTCTGTTCCACAGTTTCCTGACCTGTAAAGTGGGATAATAATATCTGCTCCATAGAGATGTTTTAGTATCGAGTTAATACAAACATAGTATTTACAATAGTGCTTGGCACATAGTAAATTCTTTATGTCTTAGTTCTATTAATGTTCTTAAAGGTATCATTTGGCACTAGAAAATTTAAGGTTTTCACACTCACATAGAGATTATACACCAGAGATTTTTAGCCATGTGTGAGCTTGTGGGCTTTGGGTGGTCTGCGAACCCTCTGAAATTATATGTAAGATTTTATGTGAGTGGTTGTGTATTAGAAAGCTTTATAGTTTCATTAGATTCCAAAAGGGTTGTGTTAACTAAAATAAAAAGGTAAGAAGACCTAATATGTAATTTGCTCAGAGCTAGTAGTTGACACTGGGATTTTATTTGATTCAGTAAGATAAAGACTGTATTGAGAAAATTGAAAGCCAAGGACTAAACTTTGGGGAATGCCATAATTAGGATAAACAACTAATTAAAAATTCGGTTATTACATTTTTAAGCTGAATCAAAAAAGTTCTGAGGCACAGAAGTGAAGAGATGATTGTTTCAAAGAGTAGGCATCCAGTATTGTGGGAAAGTGAAGAGGGATTGATTAGACAAGATTATTGGAATTAGTAAAATGGCAAATACAGATCAAGTTGAGTGGAAAGAACCCACGATAGAGAATGGATGGTGAGGAAGATGGAGGCAGATTTAAACCACTGGCCTGAGAAATTTGGCAATGAAAGTGATCTAAATTGAATTGGGTTCTTTTGTGAACCAATATCTTATTATGAAATACTGAGTGATTATATTCTTGATTACAGGTTATGTATGCTGTTTTTTGCCTTCTTTCTTCTAGGGTTTCAATCCACCTGTTCTTGTTTTTGTTCAGTCCATTGAAAGGGCTAAAGAACTTTTTCATGAGCTCATATATGAAGGTATTAATGTAGATGTTATTCATGCAGAGAGAACACAGCAACAGGTAAGGACAGTCAAATGTATACTTTCAAAATCATAAAGAACTACTTAATTTAAAAACATTGGCATTAAATATATGAAGTACCTGTTTTCCATTCCTAGAGTGGTACTAAAGCATGTAATATATATTCTTTTAACCAGAGAGATAACACAGTTCACAGCTTCAGAGCAGGAAAAATCTGGGTTCTTATTTGTACAGCCTTGCTGGCAAGAGGGATTGATTTTAAAGGTGTGAACTTGGTAATCAACTATGACTTTCCAACCAGCTCAGTGGAATATATCCACAGGATAGGTGAGTTCTCTCTTTTTTCCTTCCCCTTTGTCACCCACTCATCTGTCTTAGCACTTCTGCTGTTCCCCTTTAGACATGCTCTTTAGTGTTATGAATATCCAGTGAGTTTTATATATGAATCTTGAGAGCCCCTTTCCAACACAAAAGGGTCCTTTTATCTTCTGGTTTCTCTTAGGTCGGACTGGAAGAGCAGGGCATAAGGGAAAAGCTGTTACGTTTTTCACCGAAGATGACAAACCATTATTAAGAAGGTAAATTAGGAAAAATAACTTAGTATTAAGTTGGTAAATTGCTTTATTATTCTTATATGGATATTCAATTAACAATTACAAAATGGCTTTGTCCCAAATTCTGTTAATGGTATTAGTCATCCAAATTTTAGCCATGAGAAAAGGAAAAATGATCAAAGGGTTTTTCTTTTGCACTTTCATTATTAGAATTCGAAAATATTCAAAATTGAATATTTATTATTGTTTCAGATTCACAGGACTCTTCCAACAGCCATCAGTTGATGTTACTTACAATGTATTATTACATTTTCTGAATTAGTGAATAGTTTAAAAGTTAACCCCTGAGTCTCTTCAGCCTACACAACATTATCTCTTACCATAGTGTTTATCATTCCTGTTACTCTTAGGAGCATCTGGAATTTTATATTTAGTCCTAGGACCACCTGCCATATAGGATAAATTATTTTAGTAACATATTCTAATATTATTCAATTGTAGCCTTTTTTTTTGTGACTGGTAAGTGGGTCGTAACCCTTGGCTTGGTGTCGCCTGCACTGCGCTCAAGCCAGTGAGCACACTGGCCATTCCTATGTAGGATCCAAACCTGCGGCCTTGGCGCTCCCAGTGCCGCTGCGCTCCCAGCGCCACACTCTCCCGAGTGAGCCACAGGGTCGGCCCCAATTGTAGCCTTTTGAAGCCTGGGTAACATGAGGTATACTTTTAGAATCTCGAGTCTTAATTTAGCCCATCACCATAGATTTTAATATAGAAGCTGAGTTTCCCACATTTTGGCTGCCGATAGTAATTTTTGGTTGATGATAATTGATAGCGGGCCGACCCCGTGGCTCACTCAGGAGAGTGCGGCACTGGGAGCACAGCAGCGCTCCCGCCACGGGTTTGGATCCTATATAGGGATGGCCAGTGCGCTCACTGGCTGAGCTCAGTGCGGGCGACACCAAGCCAAGGGTTACGATCCCCTTACCGGTCACGGAAAAAAAAAAAAAAAATGATAGCACTTCACATTTCTAACAAAGTTCAGTTACGGCTGAAGAGGGTTTGTACTTTAATCTGTTCATCACATTTGCTAAATATTTTGACTTGTGCCTTTTGAGCTTTGGCTCTGTCAGCCTTTGAATCACTTAGAGTAGACTTTCACATGTGCATGTGTAGTGGGTGTGTATTGCAACAGTCTAGGTCCCCCTAAGGTGGTCTCAGCAACCCCAGGCATGTGAATCTGATGACCCCAATGTCAGCTAACTGTGCATCTCAGTTTTCCATCTGTAAAACAGGGATAATGATAGTATGTACCACATAGGGTTGTTGTGAGGAGTAAGTTATTATACATTTGTAATATTAAATGTATTATTATTTATTAATTTAAACTTTTATTATTAAACTTACAGTGCCAACCCACTAGTTAGTATGGTCATATTTAATACATTTAAGTTTGATTTTGGCTTCAGTCAGTGTCCTCTGAGATCAGGCTTAGTAGCTTTTTAGGACTTGATAAATGTTGAAATAGCTGCTATCTAAAGTTAATCATCGGTGCATTGATTTCTGTCCAATGGATAGTTCTCTAAATCCAACATGCTTACATCTGATGATAATTGATAATATGAGAGTACTTCAAAAAGTTTATGGAAGAATAGAATTAAAAAATAATTAAGTCTTTCCATGAACTTTTCAGATACCTTTGTGTATCAGTACCCTTTACTGGATTACTTTGTGTAGTCTTAGTTCCTCTTATATTGTGCAGAGGGGTTTACATACATAAAATTCAGTTTGACAAGCTACAAGTTTATGTTTATGGGTTCTTTTTTCAGTGTCGCCAATGTTATACAGCAGGCTGGTTGTCCTGTACCAGAGTACATAAAAGGTTTCCAAAAATTACTAAGGTACAATCTTGAATTTACCTGGAGCTTCTCTATTTCTGTCTCTCTGCATATATATTCTTGCTTTTTGTTTTCCTGCCTTTTACTTATTTTATGGTATAAGTACGTATCCCTAAGTACTAAGTATAAGTATGTATCACTATTTAGTTTTGCATGTTTTTGATCTTATATAAATGGTATCAAACTGGACAGTGGTATTAAATACATTCATAGTGTGTGTAAATGGTATCTTATAAATGGTATCAAACAGTTCAGTGGTATTAAATACATTCATAGTGCGTGTAAATCACCACCATCATCCATCTCCAGAACTTTTTTCATCTTGTAAAACTGAAACTCTGTATCCATTAACAGTAACTCCTCATTCCCTCCTTCCCACAGCTTCTGGCAATCACCATTCTACTTTCTGTCTCTTATTTTGACTACTCCAGCTACTTCATATAAGTGAAATCATACAGTATTTGTCTTTTTGTGACTGACCTATTTCACTTTTCATAATGTCCTCTAGTTTCATCCATGTTTTAGCGTATGCCAGAATTTCCTTCTTTTTTAAGGCTGAATAATATTCCATTATATGTATATACCACATCTTATTTATCCATTTGTCGATGGACACTTGGGTTGCTTCTACATTTTAGCTGTTGTGAATAATGCTAATGGGTGTGCAAATATGTCTTTGAGACCCTGCTTTCATACAGTCTTGCTATTACACTATCAGACATTATAGTTCTAACAATAATACTACTTTTAAAGCATTTTAAGATAAAAATTTTCTTTTTTTTTTTTTCCTTTTCGTCTTTTTTCGTGACCGGTAACGGGATCGCAACCCTCGGTGTCACGCCCGCATCGTGCTCAACCAGTGAGCGGACCGGTCTCTATATGGGATCCGAACCCTCGGCGGGAGTGCCGCTGCACTCTACCGAGTGCACCACTGGGCCGGCCCTAAAAATTTTATCAACCAGTGAGCGGACCGGTCTCTATATGGGATCCGAACCCTCGGCGGGAGTGCTGCTGCACTCTACCGAGTGCACCACTGGGCCGGCCCTAAAAATTTTATTTTTAAATATTTATGAATACTATATATTATTTCCTTGCCAGTGTTTTTACCCTTGAAATTTTAAATATTCAGATTTCTAAAAAAGTATTTAGTGTGAGTAAAGTATGCTTAGAATTATTTTAGTTCACAAAACTGGTTAAAAGCAGTTAATTGACCAAAATCAAACTCTAGTGCCTGTTGACATAGGATATAAGGTTGACACAGGACACATTTTAATTACAATCAGTGCCTTTTTAAAAAGTTGATTGAATTTAATCATCCCTTTGAGTTAGCTTTCTAAATGCTATTAGATAATGTAGTTTATTAACATGGATGCAGCCCCATCTTAAAACAGTAAATGGTTAAAAAAAATAAATTTTGTGATCAAGAGTCAAAACTAATTTTAGCTTTAGCTCTTCAAAATAAAGTTGCCCTTAATTTATTGCTTCTCTTACTTTGTAATTTTCAGCAAACAAAAGAAAAAGATGATTAAGAAACCATTGGAAAGGGAAAGCATTAGTACAACTCCAAAATATTTCTTAGAAAAAGCTAAGAGTAAACGGTGAGTATATGATAAGAAAAGTTGCTGTTTGATTCCATCATATAGTTATGGTTGGCTTTATTTCTTCTTCGGATAAATTTTCAGAAGTAGAATTGATAGGTCTACAGTCCATGATAGAATGTGATATAAATAATATACCTTGTGTTGGCTATGATTTGGGAACTTGGATGATTTAATCTTAATCTTGGAATTTTTCTGTACCTATATATTAATGATCTGGTGTTTTCCATCTTTGAAAATATAATTTTCATTCACTCTGAATCAGATTTGCACCTTCCACCATCCCCACACAGTCTGCGTCAGGACCTTGACTTGCATTGATTGAGGCTTCCTTGAAGCTCCATATTCTGGGGAGGATTTCAAAATAATCTTAGGTTTATGCTGAAGCACATTGTAATGGCTTTAAAAAGTATTACTTGGGTAAATTTGTAGTAGCTGGGCTGGGTTTTATGAGGATTTTAAAGCATAGATTTTTTTTTAGCACATATACAGGGCATCTTATTTCGCCCAGTAATGCTACACATTTTGATAGGGGTAGGCCAAAATATTTTGAACAGTATACTCTTTCCACTATTAAGGGAAAATGGCACTCTTTAAATTCTATCAGTATTAGATTAATATATGCTCTAATAGAATTGCTCAATTCTAATCATTTCTTTATGAGGATTTTAAAGCATAGATTTTTTTTTAGCACATATACAGGGCATCTTATTTCGCCCAGTAATGCTACACATTTTGATAGGGGTAGGCCAAAATATTTTGAACAGTATACTCTTTCCACTATTAAGGGAAAATGGCACTCTTTAAATTCTATCAGTATTAGATTAATATATGCTCTAATAGAATTGCTCAATTCTAATCATTTCTTTATTTTGTGTATGTGTATTTTTCCTGAGACTGCTGTCAGTGGCCTAGGATTCTACCACTGTGAAATAAGCTAATGCTTATTTCCATTACCTTACATCTGTTCTGTGGAAGTCACTAGGAAAAGCTGTTCCCATCTACCAGTAGGCATTTGTTGAGTTGTCCTGCAAGGTACTTGGTGGTAGTAGGTATAAAAATTAATATAAAATGAGACCCTTTCCTGAAGTTAGTGAAAGGAGATTAGTATACATGAAAAAAATTAGAAAATGGTTTTTAAATAGGAGTTTAGAGAAGGGAAAGGTCATTTTGGATGGTATAGTTATCGAAAATTTCAAAGAGGTAAAACTATCTTTAAGAATAGGTAAAAAATTAGGCAAGTAGAAGGAACAAGGTGAATAAAGGCATGGAAATTGAAAAGTACTTTCTTTGTAAGTGGAACAAGACTCTTATTTGACATTTTGGTACCAATTATGGGAAATAATTTTCCCTTCAAGTATATACAGTGTATGGTGTCCCAAAGTTTTAGTGCACATTTAAGCTTTAATAAGTTGGGAAAAATAAGTGCTACAAACTTCCAAAAATATTTGAAAAATTAATCATTTTAATTCTGTATTTACTTAGTTTTGTGGATTCTTAATTTTTTATTTTAGTTTTTGTAGTGACAGTTTCTGGGTGACACTTAAACTGGTGGATTGGTAGAGAATGTCATGCTTGGCCACCTTTTTCACCTAATCTGTCTCAATAAAGTTTTTCTTCTTGGGTGTGGGTGGGTCACATCAGAACTGTTGTATGTGCATCAGAAACTCATTCTTTGGATGATCTTAAAAGTTAGTATTACAAGTGCAACCCTTTCAGGCACTGAGCAGCAACTAATAAAGGTTTTTACAGAAAATCAACTAAGAGCATAAAATGGTGGCTATGTTTGTTGACTTTTAATAAGATACACCAGTATTTTAAACATTTTAAATGTTGATTTTTGTAAGTTTGTAGAATTTATACTTCTGGGGTTATTAAAATTTTAAACTGCACTAGGATGAGCATTGGTTTCTGGTCAAGATGGCAGAATAGATGGTCCCCAGCATCACTATCTCCCACAAATCAACAAATTTCAAGTATTAAAAAGCAGCAACAGTTAAGCTGGGGCCACTAGAGCTCAGGGGAAGAGGAGGAGAGACCTATGGAGTTCACGAAGGCAGGAGAAGCCATGATGAGAGAAAGAAAGGATTGCTCCCACAATTTCATGCCCTGGCTGCTTCAAGGCTTGAGCTGGTGAGTGCATGGAGCAAGAGATGGCAAAAGCCATTGCTGTGCCCTACATATGAAGTTGCTTGGAGGTGGCAGGGGAGAAGAGGTTCTTGGTGGCCCCCAAGCCAGCAAGACCACTAACAGGGTTCTGTGGACCCACATAGAAGTGATGGGCCACAGCTAGCTGAAGATAGGAGCCACTCAGAGGCTGGTGAGTCATCACAAGGGACCAGCGCATGGCCCATCCCATGGGAAGTGTTTGGAGTATGGGCAGTGGGGGAGATGGACCCACCCTGGGAACACTGGGGAACATCATGGACAGCTGATCTGCCCCCAATGAGCACAGGGCCACTCAGTGGAGACTGGTTAGAACTTCAGGGGGTGCAGTTTGCTGAAGACTCAGGCCCAGACTAGTTTCCACACACCCCAGCTGTACCAGAACTCACAAGACCCAGAAGTACATACAAGGTCAACCATTAAAATGTGAGCTGCATAAAAAGCCTTCACCAGGGAATCAGCAGTAAAGCAGCAATTTAGCTCAACTACAGGGCTCAAGTGCTGGTTCCCACAGGAAGTTCCCCCATTTTAGAAGTAAGCAAAGGACATCAAATTACTTCCAGTGCAAAGTTTAAGTGGCAGGAACAGTGAATAATCCAACACAGAACTGAAAGAAAAACAATACATACAGATCAGAGACAGAGTCTGATATTAACTAATAAAGGTCTAACACCACCAAAGAACACCTATAAAACCTAGGACTGGCAGTCCCCTGGGCTCCCAAGCCAGGGAGGTGGGAGAGCCATGTGCCTCAGCCATGTACCCCTGGTGACCACCAGGCCACTGTCAGAAGCACTCTGGGCTCCCGAGCTGGGGCAGTGGGGGGCCAAGGGCTTCAGGCATGCACCTTTGACATCCACAACCAGCCCAGCAACAACCATCCAGCTGCCACAGGAAGCACCTTGGGCTCCTGAGCTGGGGCAGTGGGGGGCTGATGACCTCAGCCATGCCCCCCTGACATCTGCAGCCAGCCCAGCAATGAACACTGAGCCACCGCCAGAACCCCCGTAGTCTCCCCTGACTGAATGAGGGGGGTGCCACTGGCCTCAACCAAGCCCCCCTCCTTCATATTCTTCTCACCCTACTGCTCCGCAACAACATCTTAGAATGTTAAAAAAAAATGCTATTGGGCCGGCCTGGTGGCACACTGGATAGTGCGCCGCTTGGGAAGCGCGGCGGCGCTCCCGTCCGAGGGTTCGGATCCCACATACGGACCGGCTCCCGCTCACTGGCTGAGCGAGGCGCGGGAGCAACACCGAGGCTTGCAATCCCGTTGCCGGACCCGGAAAAAAGACAAAAAAAAAAAAATGCTATTGGGCCGGCCTGGTGGCACACTGGATAGTGCGCCGCTTGGGAAGCGCGGCGGCGCTCCCGTCCGAGGGTTCGGATCCCACATACGGACCGGCTCCCGCTCACTGGCTGAGCGAGGCGCGGGAGCAACACCGAGGCTTGCAATCCCGTTGCCGGACCCGGAAAAAAGACAAAAAAAAAAAAATGCTATTGGGCCGGCCTGGTGGCACACTGGATAGTGCGCCGCTTGGGAAGCGCGGCGGCGCTCCCGTCCGAGGGTTCGGATCCCACATACGGACCGGCTCCCGCTCACTGGCTGAGCGAGGCGCGGGAGCAACACCGAGGCTTGCAATCCCGTTGCCGGACCCGGAAAAAAGACAAAAAAAAAAAAATGCTATTGGGCCGGCCTGGTGGCACACTGGATAGTGCGCCGCTTGGGAAGCGCGGCGGCGCTCCCGTCCGAGGGTTCGGATCCCACATACGGACCGGCTCCCGCTCACTGGCTGAGCGAGGCGCGGGAGCAACACCGAGGCTTGCAATCCCGTTGCCGGACACGGAAAAAAGACAAAAAAAAAAAAAATGCTATTGATAGATAAATTAATTTTTTAAAAAACTGCACTAAGATATTGTGAATACTTGGTATAAATCTCATCATACTAGCCCCCTGCTTAAGTTACTTTGGTTGTCTCCATTTTCTAAACATTTAAAGGCCATACTTCTTAGCATACAAACAAGACCAATCATGATCTGACTCTAGCCTACCTCTCCACTATACATGTTCCTTGAATGATCCCACCCACACCTGTAGCCTCAGCTCATACCTCTATTCTGATAACTCTGAACTTCATATCTTTAGCCCCAGCTTCCCCACTGAGCTACAAACCTGAATTCCTGATGCCTATTGGGCCTCACTTCAGGCACTACAAATTCAACTCAGTATCGTGGAGGGAAAGATTGGATTTGGAGCCAGAAAAGTTCTAATAGCTACTTTCCTGTATAACTTTCGGCAAGTCACTTCACCTCTCTAAGCCTCTTCTGTCATATATATATATACAGGAAATAATTATGTAAACAATACAAAGTCTGCCACTCAGGGTTGGTCGGAGGATTAAATGAGTTAGTGTACATTAAAGAACTTTGTGTTACTATGATTATTTTCTCAAGACTTTGTTCCTTTTCCTGTTACTAAGTTTAATGGCATTCACCATTTACCAGGCTCTAGAATCAAACTGTCAGGATTCATGTCTAGCATTTAGTAACAGTGTGAGATGATCAGCAAGCTACTTAACCACTCAATGCTTCATTTTTCTCATCTATAAAATAAGGATGATATTAGAATCTTCCTCATAAATTATTAGGAAAATTACCTGAGTTGATACATGAAAAGCATTTATAACAGTGTCTAGCACTTAATGAGCACTGAATGAATGTGAACTTTTATGAAGTCAGGATCAGAATCTGTCTTTCATACATGTAGTGGTATAGTTTGTTGTGATGTTTCTGCCTCACTTAGGTGATTGTGATTTTCTGAAGGGCAGAGACCAGTCAATGCATCTTTGTATTCCTGGTGCCTCATGTACTTGATGTGCAGTAGGTTTCAGTAAATGTTTATTAAACTAGTGTTACAGAAAGTAAATATATCCAGAACTTCTGATTTGTCTTTCCTCACTTTCTTTTTCACAGGAAAAAGGCCACTGGTCAGAACAGCAAGAAAAAAGTAGCTCTTGAAGACAAAAGTTAAAAACAGACCTTTTGAAAGACTATCCCAGAAATGTAATTTTACTCTCCCAGTGTAAATGTTGTTTTCATAGAATACTTCAAGTGTTACCATCACCTGTACCAAACATTTGAAACCAACTACAAGCACGGGGATTGCTGAAAAATGATTCTAAAGTATCAATGCATCATGTCAAATTTCAGTTTGTATGTGACTTTTAAGTGATTATACAATGGAAATTTCATTGACATTTCTGGGTTTGGATCCAGAGAGATACTTCTTATAGAAGAACAAAAGCTTATGCTAAAAATAACAAAACCCAAATGTGGTGAACTTTTACGGATTTTTCCTTCAAGTGTGAAGGAAGGTGTGATGTATGCTGTGGAAAGGCATCTGAAACAGAATTTCAAAACATGAGACTGAATGCCGCTTCCACCTCCACACACTTTGATGGATGAGATGAAGCACAGGCTATCCACCAAGAAGAAACCTACTGCTCTTTATTTTACTATTTCTTAATTTGTTCATGGCCTTTTGTGGTGTGAGCCACAACAAAGAGATGCCTCTTCTGAGGCTGGTTATTCAAGTTCCCTAGGATTTTAAATTTGTTGGTCTTAATTGTCCTATACCTCATTGGTAAGGTAGCTTATACCTTAGCTATCATAATGTTGCAACTACAAGGTTATGATCATCCTCTCTCCCTTTCTTCATTTTCCATCATTTAACCATGCTCTTTACTATCTCTTTCCACTTAAAGTGATTTTACTTGAAAATTGATAAACATTCTATCCTGATAAGGAAGAATGTTCCTGTTACTTTATATACCTCTGGCTTCATTCTCTTACAGCTTATCTTTCCTGAGGCATGATGAATTTCATCCATTTAAGCAGGATGAAAGCAGGTCTCTGCTAAAGGTAAAGGATTATGATCATATGGTGATGAAGACTATTTGCTATTAGCAGATTTTTCTCAATTGCTAGTTTTGTACAGTGGTATAAAAGATTGAGTTTATACATGTAAGGTAGAGACCTTAGAATGACATATGTTATCAGTACTATAATATAGATAATCTGTTCTCAGCAGTATTTGAATTAAACTTATTTCCTTTAGTCTCAGCCTTTTATTCTGGAGTCAGGACAGAAAGACTGTCTTGACCATTTTAGATGGGACAAAAATTGTTCATCTTCAGAATTTATTTAAATAACCTGTTGCTACAGGGTGCAACGAATACTTATAAAAACAGATTTTTTAATTTTTATGCAAATAAATCCTTGACTCATACGTTCTGGAGGATAAGGCATACTGGTACAGTGCATTTGCAAGCTGTGTGACTTTGTATAAGTTTAACTTTTCAGAGCTTCAGATGTTTTCATCTATGAAATTGTCAAGATTGGAAGTACCTAGCACTGTGCCTGACATACAGTAAACTTACAACAAATATTCCTCCAACAAATATTACAGATTTTGTTAGGAATTCAAGGCTTGATAACACAGTCCCTGCCCTTACAATGTAATGGTGGAGATGAAGTAAAGGAACAAATACTGGCAACTGTTCTGTTAGATGAAAGGCCATGACGCGGAACCACCATAGGACATCTGATCCATATTGGGGCTGTCATGGAAGGCTGACATCCTGAGTGGAGTCCTACAGATACAGAAATCAATAGGCAAAGAAGAGGAACAAAGTAATCCAGGAACAGAGACCACATCTTCTATGATCCCTGATTGGACTTTATTTACTCTTATTTTCTCCTGCGTAAACTACCCATCCACACAGAAACCTACACCACCTTGGTTTGTCAATGGATTAATACTAAATATAGTTCCTTTAAATGAGTTGGAACTATCTGCTACATAAATTTCAGTTTTGTCTAAGGAGGGGGAGGAGTGAAATAAGTGAATAGACAATTACAGCAAAAGAACATAATAAGTGAATAGCTGGCTGCAGTGAAATGAACAAGGACTTTGGAGTCACACCTGGATTTTAATCCTGGTCCTGCTTCATGTAGCTGTATAATCTTGACAAATTACATAAACTTCTTTTAACCTTGATTTTCTCATCAGTACTAACTTTAAGGGGACACCTAGGAGGATCTTTAAAAATGCACGTAAAGTTGCTGACCAGTGATTTGTGCCCAATAAATGATAAGATTATAAATTGTTTCCCAGTAAAAGCCTGGAGGCAAGAGTGGAAAATAAAGCTAATTATCATTGATCCATTATTTGCTAGTAAGGAAATTCCACCTGAGGGCTTGAAAAAGTTTACACCCGACTTTTATATTTTACTTCCCTAGGGGTAGTTTGATTAGGGGGAAAAAAAAATCACAGTAAAAAATACGCCAGTTAGGTTCAAAGTAATTATGAATTGTTTAACAAATACTATTGTTCAACACCTGCCTGCAAGAATAGGAAAAACAAATGGACTACTGGGTGGCAGAAGTAAACACAAGAGTAGAGCACCATGGAGGTTTTTTATGTGGATTGGGTTTATGTGCGTTCGGTTGGTTTAGTAAAATAAATTTTAAATACCTTGAACGTCTGAAGTGGGCGCCATAAGGAAGCTGGGGAGTTCCAGGGAAAGAGGGGAGAGAGCTGATCACTAATCAGCGTTGTTTAGCTCTCAAACGGCCAGCCAGAATGCATGTATTCTTTACGTGTAAAGAATAACAAAACACCCGTGTACCCACCGTCCAGTTTAAAAATCAAGACTCAACCTCCTCTTTCCACTAACCGAGATGATCGTTTTCAAAGGGAGGAACGACGACACTTTGCCGCTCGGCCGCCAGCCGGGCCCTGCAGAGGGCCTTGGCGAGAGTATGAATCAGCTCTCTTCGGAGCCGCGCCCGCCCCCGCCCCCGCCCCCGCCCCAGCTGCCCCAGAGCTAGGACTGCACCTGCAGGACCCCAGCGGCGCTGGGTCACGTGACGGAGCGCCGCTCCTCCCCGAGGGCCGGGGGAGTCACGTGGGCGCGTGGCCCCGCCCCGTCGCCGGGTCCGCGGCGAGGTGGGGCTGGCGTTTGCTCCGGAAGTGGCTGTCTTCAGCTGACAGCTGCTGGCGCGGCGGCGACGGCCTAGGCAGGCCCGGAGCAAGATGGCGCTGCGGCCGGGAACCGGAGCTGGCGGCGGCGGGGCCGCGGGAGCCGGCGCGGGGGCCGCAGGGGGAGGCAGGTGGGTGTGAAGAACGGGGTCGGAGGCCGGTGGGACGCAGGCTGGCCTCCGAGCGGCCAGGGGTGCTTGGCGGTTATGATGGGTTTTGCCGGCTCCGACCCTTTTCCTTTGGAACCGGCTGCGGGAGAAGGGTCGTTGCCTGACACCGAGGCGGAAGGGGGCGGACAGAGCCCGGGCGCCCGACGCTTGTGTTCCAGGCTCCGGGGCACCGGCTGCCTGGGGGCGGGAGGGGAGGAGGTGAGTGTCCGCTCGGCGGCGCTGGGTGACGAGGAAGCCCGACCCCTCGTTTCTCGTCCTGGCTGCACCTGAAGAGACCGGGGGTGATGGAGGGAAGGCTCTGGAAAATCTGGTCACAAAGCTGGAGGAACTGTTTGTTTTTTCCCCTTTCAGAGTGTCCTGTCCTGTCCACCTTTTATTTCTCTAACACGAAGAACGGCAGGAAAATCTGAAGACCTTTGAATTAGTAATTGTCTAGAGATAGAGCTTCTGTCTTGTAGAGAGAACTCTGACTTGTAAAAAGGCATTTAAAAACAAAACAAAGAAAAATTCACAATGTCTAGAGATAGAGATTCTGTCTTGTAGAGAGAACTCTGACTTGTAAAAAGGCATTTAAAAACAAAACAAAGAAAAATTCACAGTTGAACAGCAGTTACGCATGTATTAGAACAAAGCTTCCGGACTTTTACTTAGTCCTCAAACAAATGTGCCCTGTGTTATATCTCATCTAGTAACTGCCTGTGGTTCTTATACCCAAAACGATAAGGGAGATGTACCTTTGTGACTTGACCAATTCATTATCATCTAGGGAAATATTATATTCCAGAAAGTTTTCACCCCACTTCTGTGATGACCCAGTCGGATTTTATTAGCCAACCCATACTGCGCACACGTTTGGAGGTAAAATTAGTTCTTCATCTTCAGTACCCTAAATTATTTTTGGAAAACGGAAGTGTTGGTTTTTTGATATGCAGTGTTTCAATTTTGGAGTCATAAACACTACCGAAGTGTAAGGTCTTAAAATTATCACCTTTTGCAGGTGCTTATATATATGCTAGGGGAAAAAAGCAGTTGCTGTTCAATAAACCACCTGTGTGCGATCCCATTTTTCATTTCCTCTACACATCTTCGACTTTAGATTTAAAACCCTTTGCTTATTCATTTGTTCTCTTCGCTGTTTCATTCACATTTTTCATGAATAATTGGTATAGGTCAGTTTCTGCCTGGAGAAGAAAAATGTTTAATAATCTCTTTTCTGTATTTGATGGCAATTTCTAAAGTGTTCCTAAGTGGCATTAATTTGATCAAGTATATGATCGATCATGGCACGGATTTCTAGAAAATAGAAACTTAAAAGAATTTAGCATTCTAGGCCTGAATTTCTATTTGTTTTTTGAAAAAATATTTTGAGTGGGAAGAACCTCAGGTTTAGAAAGTTGAGTGGATCATTACCTTTAGTTTATAATATTTTAATATCATTGGCCCCTGGACACAAAGTTTTATAAATTTGGCCTGAATTTTTGACAGAAATTAGAATAATTGATATTAAAATTTCTCTCCCCTGTAAATGTACATGTAGTAACATCTACATTCTAAAACTCTAGAGGATTTGTGGTAGATAAAAGTGGTTAAAATGTTCCTTACTTGGGCCAGCCCGGTGGCGCACTTGGTAGAGGGCGGCGCTCCCGCTGAGGGTTGGGATCCCACCCATATAGAGACCGGTCGGCTCACTGGTTGAGCGCGGTACAGGCGCGACACCAAGGGTTGCGATCCCGTTGCCGGTCGCGGTACGGGCGCAACACTGAGGGTTGCGATCCCGTTGCCGGTCGCGGTACGGGCGCAACACTGAGGGTTGCGATCCCGTTACCGGTCACGAAAAAAGACAAAAAGAAAAAACAAATGTTCCTTACTATGAAAAATGTATGGTAAATATGTTACATATATTGGAAACTTTCTGGGGCTGAGAAGCTGTATGTTCCCTAGAGAAAAAGAATATTACGGTTTTGAGAGAGTAGTGGTAAGGACTGAAGTTATTTTATAAAAAAACTAACATTATAGTAGCCTAAATGTATTTTAGGAAGAAGAAAAAGAAACAGGCAACCTCTTTAAGCTTTTAATGGAGAAAATTCATGAACTATACTGACCTTATCTCTTAAATAGTTCTAAGAGATTAAGCAAAAAGGAAGGCATTTTCCAAATTTAATATTAGCCTAATTTTGATTGGTATCCTGAATAGTCTACTTTAGAATAAACGGTAGAGTTGTTTAAAGGGCAAAATTTGCCTAAGAGATGAGAAGTATAACTTTTTTCCTTAATCAAGACAGAAAAAAAAGACTAATCCAGATTAATCAGTAATCATTTCACTCGTAGTCATTGAATGCCTATGTGTGTAAAGACACTGTTCTTTTTTTTTTTTTTTTTTCCTTTTTGTCTTTTTTCGTGTCCGGCAATGGATCGCAACCCTCAGTGTCACACCCGTACCGGACCGGGACCGGCAACGGGATCGCAACCCTCGGTGTTGCTGCCACACCTCGCTCAGCCAGTGAGCGGGAACCAGTCCGCATGTGGGATCCGAACCCTCGGCGGGCGCGCCACCACG